CCACTGGTTCAAGGACTGTACCCACTCCACTACCCACCCTCTCTGGAACCACCCCCCACCACCAATCCACGCACCAGTGCGAATGCTCCTCCAGGGTCTTAACGGGCTCCTGCACATTGCGGACGTCCCAGAACTTGACCTTGCAGTCATCTCCGCAGCTGGCCAGGTAGTACTGGCGGTTGGGGTTGAAGTCCAGGTCACGCACCAGCTGGCCATGGGCGTTCTCTATACAGTACATCTGACTGGAGAAGAGAGAGAGGGGCAGAGAGAGAGATGGAGGGAGGAGAAGAGAGAGGTGATTAAAAAAAGGGCAAGAAGACAGGAGACGTGGGGAGGAAGAAAGATGAGAGGAGAGGCAGACAGAAAAGAATTAGGATGGAGGGATAATAATGAGAGGGATCAGCCAGGGAGAGAAATGATCAGAGAGTTAAGGAGCGAAGGAGAGGGAAAGCGAATGGGGATATGACAGAACAACAATAAAAACATGAGAGAGAAAGAGAATGATTCACAGGGTCCACACAAGCGAGAACATTCCCAGGCTAAATCAAAGCCTCCTCCGTGTCTGTGTTGTCAGAGTAGGCCAGGCTCAATAAAGACAACGACACCAGCTGTGGTAAATTATAAAGGCAAACTTCATGTCTGTACAGCCCTGAGTTCCTGTTAGAGCGAATAACAGAATGACATGACAGAGGAAGAGAGAGACACTTAATGCACCTCCTCTTCTCTCTTTAAATGTATACTTTAAAAATCCTACTGCTGCATAAGCAGCCATTCTGTCTGTGTATGTGTATAATGAGGGTACTATAGATGTTAATAGTTAATGTTAACTAGCAGTGTGAGAAGCCTCCCAATACTGGTTTCTATATACTGTAAAACAAGAAAGCAGTGAATCAACAGGGGGTCAGAGAATGGAAACCCATCTGAATAAACTAGTAATTACTTGGATGTAGAAATCTGCCTCCACAATAAATGCAACACAAGAGTGTAAAAAAAAATCACTTCTTGTTTTCTTCAACATCATTTCCTCTCCAGGCATAGCCTAGCAAAGCTCAGTTTGGCGTGGTTTTGTTCAGCAGAGTGGAAAGCCTCAGTGTTATGGCCCAGCTGGATGCCAACAGCAGCTAGCCAGCTAGCTAGTCACCCTGCTGTTCACGTTAGGCAATTAACATGCTAATTAAAAATCTCATTAAAATAAGGGAGGGGTATGAGAATGACCTGGGGCAGACTGCTGGGCTTCAATTAGGTCAAGACAACCCGTGGACTGTGTGTGACTCTGGGAGTGTGTATGTGTTTGCGCTCATGTGTGCTGTTAATGCCACTGGACCTTCTAAACACTCAGTGCTCCATGAATGCACAAAGTTTTCAGTTTACATTCTAGATAACATCATGTCCAAATGAGTGTATACACACTAATATCTGGTTTTCATTTATTATCATGTATATGCACAAACAGTGATCCCTGTCAAAAATCTCCCACCCTGGTTAAGTTATCTGGCTTTCCAAACATGAGCTCTGTCCCAGCTGCATAAAACATACACAAATCATTTCCATGTGCTAAATATGCATCTTCACTGCTAAAGTGACTGTTTTAAGGGGGGTGTTGATGGGCACTGTTGGCCCCCTGTACAATGCACAGCATCAGTGCTATGGCAGACAGTAGTGTTTCAGAGTTATTGCTGGATTGATGTCAGACCATTCTCTCTATCAAGGTTTATTTTTTTCAAAGTTCAAGTGTGTGTATCGTTCACTGAGTGGATGGCACGACTCTGAAACACTATACTGTAAATTTGCCTATCACCAGACATTTACTGTGGGTGCAATTAATAGGTGGATCTGTTATAGACCCAGTTACATACAGTATTGATAACACTAGCTAACAAATCTATTATCAAACTGTTTATTCTTCCATACTCTTTATTTAAATACGATATACAAAACATTTAGGTAAAGTTAGCAAGCTTCTTGTTCCTCACTTTTAGTTGGCTCACATCACTTCTGGTGGTTAAGATGACAAATGTCACTGAGGCCCAATATATCAGCTGTAGATCATTAGGGGCATATCTACAGGATCTGTCGCAAATGATTGCCAGGCACCATAATTCGGTTTAGCGGTGCATTTACCAAGACTGCTGATGTAAATGAGCACAACCACAGCTGTATTAATTTGAATACAGCTGGTTAAGGGCATGTCTGCTGTGCACACATTTACTGTGACTGAACTTTAATATGATTGAAGAAACCAACAAACATATTTTTGAACTGCAGTCACGTAGTCTCCTGCCAGTCAAATCATCTTTTATTTCGTTCAGTAATTGAAGCATGGTTTGACCTGACAGCCTGTACAAGCCCCTCACATTCTCCTGTGGTGAGCAATTTACAAACACCCTCTCCCTCCTCAAATGTGTTCTTAACTCTGACGAGATCTCAGGTTATTAACAAGGGCCATGCTGAGCACAGTGCTGCCAATTTTACACCTGCTTTCGCCTAAAGTTAAAGTTCAGCCACAGTTCCCTCTGTGACAGTGGCAATAGATCAGGTGCTGAGGGTATTTGTATAAATTTCCATTCTCTCCTCCCTCATTTTTGCACCCCTGAATGGAAACACCTTATAATATATATAGCATGAGGCCAAACATGCAAATTCCTGCAGTGACTCCTTAGCAAACATGAACATGTGCAATTTCACTATTTATCACCAAAAAATGAGCCAAAAAACCTAAGTGAACATGTCCCTTAATGCTAATGTTATAATTCATACAAGCCAGTGTCTCTGTTTGGCCAAAGGTCATTTAAGAGCATCAGCCTTTAATGATTCTCTAGTCTGACAAAATCAACAGAAGATGCCTCATCTCAGTTAAAATGATCTAGCTGCATCACCTTAGGACGCAGAATTTCTCTGTTAAAAGTTCATGCATCTGATATATAAATAATTGATCAATACATTCTGAATCAGGATTTTCAGTATTTGCAACTTTAATTACAGATGCTGACCCAAATCAAACCCGAATGGATTTGATAAGGGATTCAAAAAGATTCTGATGAAATAACCGTATTTAATACTGGATTCAGATTCTGTAAAATACTATCAAACCCCAACCCTACTGGCAGTCACCCTTTTGTTTCTCTTGGTATCGGGCCATTATGGGCAATGAGAAGGACGGCTTTACTGGACTAACATGGTTTTTACACGTAAATGTGATGAAGAGCCTTAATTTATGAAATTCTATTGTTAGACTGGATGAAAACAGACATTTCTGTGTACACACACATATATATACACATACACACACACACATACACATACATATCAATCAATAATGCACAATACAATTATATAATCTGTGATATAGGACTTTATCCATATTTCCCACCTCTTGAAAATTTCTATTCAGTTACAGTTTCTTATGCACTGCCAAATGCTTTGCAGAATAAATACGTGTTTATTTTGGGGGAGTAATTTTAAAGACGGTGGATCACCAATAAGAATAAATACATACATCTAGATATTGGAAACAAGCATTAGTGAGCCAGTAGCATTCTAGTCTAAGTCAGCTTGGAACTTTTAGTGAACTCAAAACAGCAATTTTCTGTGTGATTTTGAGCTGGGGCTCATGATTTATTTACAGTTCTCCCTCCCTCTCCAAAGTGTGACTCTGAGGTAAAAGGCGTGACCCCGGGCGATAGGGTGGCTGGTGTTCAACCCGGTGCGCCGTGGAATGGGACGCGCC